ATGGTTGGTCTCTTGAAGCAAAACACACGCAGTTGGCATTTGAGAATTCTTAGATCCTTCGGGGTTGATTAAATCCCTAAACATATCATTAATCATACTGAATAAAATAGGACTGACTACACTTCCTTGAGGAACTCCATTATTGATAGTAAAAATGTCAAATGTTTTGGTCCCTACTTTTACCATTATTGATCTGTTTTTTAAAATGCTCATTACCTTATTATAAAGTCTTGCTCTTATTAGATTGTTAATTTTATGTAATAACCCCTCTCTCCGCATGGTATTGTAAGCTTTTTCTATATAAAAAAAAAAACTGTCATCAAATTATTTATATTGTCTTTTTATTTCACTTCATCTTTTTGTAGACCTACCTTTACGAAAACCACACTGATGGCTATTAATGATCCCTCTTTGCTCTAAAAAGTATTTTGATCTTTGAACTATAATTTTTTTTAATCAATTTTTAGGTTTTTGTACAAGTACAAAGGTTTGTGCAGCAAATGCTAAATTGTAGAAATTTCAAAAGATCATCTGAAAAGCAGATGATCATCAAAGAGATTAATCTGTATTGAATGAAGTGAAGTAAAGCCAAGTATGGTGACCCATACTCAGAATTTGTGCTCTGCATTTAACCCATCCAAGTGCACACACACACACAACACACACCTGGAGCAGTGGGCAGCCAATGCTGCAGCACCCAGGGAGCAGTTGGGTGTTTGGTGCCTTGCTCAAGGGTTTCACCTCAGTCATGGTATCGAAGGTGGAAGAGTGCACTGGTTATTCACTCCCCCCACCAACAATTCCTGCCGGACCTGAGACTCGAACCTACAACCGTCAGGTTATAAAGCCAACTCTCTAACCATTAGGCCATGCCTGATTGTTCACGATTATTGCTCTTTGGTCAATCAACTTAATGTTTAGCCAGGCAGACGATTTAGTCCATCACTTTAGTTCTTTCTACACCTTTCAGAAATAGTTAACTAGCATTGAGTGTGTAGTAGTGCATAGAAATTGGTTGGGTGAAGGTGATTTGATTCTCATTTGGATATATTCAGGATGCATCAAATGCTGTAAGATAGGAAAGGAAATGTTAGAACTTTTTTCTTACAGGATGAACTTGAGATACAAAAAAAAAAAATGTGAGAAATGTACCATTGTCCAGTTCTCATGAGTTTGACAACATCATTGATCTGCTCCATATCCATTTTGTGGGTTATGAACTCATCAAGCTTTATTTTGCCAGACATGTAGTCACACACCAGTTTTGGAATAGATTCCTTGATCTTAAAACCTTTTTCACGTGAACAGAAATTAATACAGAAATGAAATGAAAAGAACCTATTCATTGCCATTAAAGTGAAATTACTGAACCTACACATAGGAGCCTGATAAAAATGCAAATTTTAGAGGAAAATTTCAAAGGGCACTTACAGGCTTTTGCATCTGAACTGTTCATAACTTTTATAAATATCTGTTTGGCCATAAAATTTTAAATGCATTATTATGCAAAAAATATGAGCAGAGTTCTCCGCATAAATTACCCAAGACTGGCAGATCAACATACTACTTCTTTTCTTTTCTCTCTGATACAGTAGGAAGTTTAATTAATTAAATAAAATGTGGAAGATGTTAACTGTGACAAGATGACTGACAGGGCCAGTTTACAGTGACAGGATGCTCATAAATATGAGGGGTCCAATAAAAGAGGGGTCCAATAAAAACAGCCCAATATTTAGTATGTCCCAAAGCTTGCCTACTCTTCTACACACTTTACATACTCAAAATGTTGTACTTTTTCGTCACCAAAAGAGTACTTTAAGGACGTACTGTAAGTAGGCAAATTGAGATTCAACAGAAGTTTCCCAGTTGTAAATGCAACTTGAGAGGCTGTTGATGACCAATTTGTGACTATTTACGATAATTCCGATAGCACGTGAAGGCACATAAGGTCTTACAGATGAAGCTCTCTCATACTGATCTAAAACCTATCTTATGAATGTACTAAAGATATATAAATATTACTTGAGATATTTATCTGCAGACTGTCTTAATTTGACAAGTACTCCTGGCTGCATGCATGTCATGTGACGGTCATGTGATGCTTCTTCTTTTAGTTTTATGGCGAGTTACAGATCAATGTGGTGCATATCACCACCTAATATATTTGAATGTGTAAAATCATGGCTTCATTTTTTTTAATCTTCGCACAAGACCAGTTAAAGAAACACTAATGCCTTAACTTCTATTCCTAAAATACCTTTAATATCATGGGGAAGTCGTGGCCTAATGGTTAGAGAGTCGGACTTGTAACCCAAAGGTTGCGGGTTCTCGTACCGGCAGGGATTGTGGGTGGGGGGAGTGACTGTACAGCACTCTCTCCCACCTTCAATACCACGACTGAGGTGCCCTTGAGCAAGGCACTGAACCCCCAATTGCTCCCCGGGTGCCGCAGCATACATGGCTGCCCACTGCTCCGGGTGTGTGTTCACGGTGTGTGTGTGTGTTCACTGCTGTGTGTGTGCACTTTGGATGGGTTAAATGCAGAGCACTAATTCCGAGTACGGGTCACCATACTTGGTCACATGTCACATGTCACATCACTAATATCCCTTAACCTGTTAAACCGCACCTGGACACCGGCACACTGAACAATACCTAAATATCGTCTTAATTTGATGATGCATTTTTCTTTCTTCCTTATATTTCCTACAGTTTAATAGAACATGCTCTAAATTTTCTTTGCATTTAGAAACCTCACATTTATCTGTGTTCACTTTACTCATGAGAAATAATTTATCATTATGTCTTGTGTATCCTGGACTTCTTTAATTGTTTTATCTTTAATTACTTTTTGAATATTATAATATTCTCTTCTTTTATTATCTGAGTCCCAAATCTTCTGCCAGTGTTTGTCAATGTTGCTTTTAGTTAATGTTTTTCCTTCATTTTTTTCCCAAGGGAAATCTCTATTTTGTCATTATAACTCACTGCTCTTGACCATGAGTATCGGGCTTAGTGGTTCAAATGTTTACTTGCCCTGCCACTAACTAACTAACTAAATAATTAAATAAATAAATAGTTTTGTTATCATTGTTTGATACTAGAATTTTAGATACCAGTTCAGTTTTACTCTCGATTCCAATTTCGATACCACAGCAAAAATAGCCTAACAAATATAAAGACAAATAAAGTCAGTAAATTAACAAATGACAAGCAATAGCACAAATAAATAAACAAAACAAAAATACAAATTATACAATGCTTTAGGTTTTTGGGTTTGGTGTTCAGGTACATTGTAAAATAACATGCATATTCTTCACTGTATAAATTAAATATAGATTAATCCTTTTTAAAGCCAGAAACGTCTGTCAAGAGAAGTGAGTGACTTCTCTGTCTGTTATTTATTTATTTATTTTAAACATTAAGGACAGGGACAGCAGCTGAAAAAAAAAAAAAAAAAAAACTTTAGACATGTCACAATCACCAGCTGGAGTGCCCATGAGCTCCACCAGTGGGCACTCCATCCCTGACTTTTACCATTCACCCAGGACTCCATTTCCCATAATCCTTTGCCCGGACTCATCTGCACTCATCATCAATGGCAGTCACCTGTCTCTCATTACCTCATCAGTCTCACACTATAAGAATGGCACACAAACACTCTCATGTTGTGGTTGATTGCCAGTCTGTTACGTTTTCTGGTCTTTTGTGGTTCCTTGCTTTTCCTTTGTTTTCTTTGATTTTGGACTGTGTTGTGATTGTTTGCTGCCTGCCATGACCGTCACCTTTTACTGGATTACGCTTTTGGATTACCTTGTGTCAATGCTACTGTTTGCTGGTGTTTTGACCCTGCCTGTCTTAACTACGTCTTAATAATAAAGCCTGCATTTGGATCCACACCTCCGTCGTCACGACTCCTATGTTACACAATGCATGGATCAAATATTGTGATATACATCCAATTTCTTTCTCTGTTAACGTTCACTTAAGACAGTCGACTGTTTTCGAGGATACTCGCAAGATGGGTATTTTGACATACTTTTATATGTTTTTGTCTGTTCAAGGGCAAGACAATGTGGAAATGTGTGCATGCTGTGCGCACAGAAAACACTGAATGGGGTTGTTATTTGCATCTTTTTGCTTTTAAATGCTTTAAAATCGCTTGAATGTTCAAATTTGCAAGTTGTATTCGAGTTGCAAGAAGACACGAAAGAACTAAATTCGGTGTCCGAACTTGTTAGAGACCACTGAATTGAGTTATTTCGTATCTTTTAATATTATAAACTTGATCGAAAATTTGCCAGGCATAAAAGCAGTGGCCCGATTGGTTCAACTGTCCCAAGCGTCTTTCACACTGGCCCGGGGCCATCGGGCAGTCACTATTGTCGAGTCTGTGGTCTTAATTTTAATTAAAAATGCAAAAATAAAATTTTGAGAAACACTTAAAAAGCACTGTAGCATTTTACAAAGGTTTCATTTGTTAATATTAGCCTTGTTATCGCATTAGCTTAGCTATCAAGAATAACTACCATGATTAACAATATTTTACATAATTAATTTCTCTTGGTTAATTCACTATTATTACAGAAAATTAATGATTTGAAAAATTGCATGTGTAGAGCAAGATTTGTGAAAATATAAATTAACTTAGCCTGATCCACAAGCAGAAAGACATATTTGTGAAGGTGTAAATCAATGTGCACAGAACATTTAAACATGTACAATTACATTCACTAATTTACCTTCCTACACTGATCCTTGTTGAATATTAATTCATAATGTATTTACCAACGTTAATATGTAGAGTTTAATGTTACACATTTTTATATGCAGATATCAGAGTAAAAAATGCTAATGTAGATATGTGTAGTTCATTATATTTTGTATATTTTATATGAAAGACCTATAGGTTTGGATTTGTTAATGGTATTTATTACTGCAAAATAAAAGGCTGACAACTTGCGTGAATGTAGGCTGTAGTTCTGGTGGATGAAGGGCCCCTCAAGAGGTAAAGCTCAGGGGCCCCATACAGTCTTAATGTGGCTCTGTATGTAATAATTTGTCATCACAGTATCATTCTGCTTATGTCAGTCATGAAAAAGTCGTTGTTGCAACAGGACTTTCATAGAAAAGACAGTATGGAAACTGGATAAAGAACCTATGAGTAAGAAAGATCCTACAGCACCATTCGTTTTTAATTGTTGTACAAGCAATTAACATCAGATAATAAAATCAGCAGAGTAATGTTACTTACTACAAAATCAAGTATCTCTGTATATACAGTATGAGCAGCGATATGGCTGTATATTGACACAGTGTTTCCATGGTGATTAAAGTAAAAGCAAAAAAGGAAACAGTAATTTTGTTATATCTTTAAAGAACATTGCCCAAACTCCTCAAAACTTATAACATACAGAGAATAAGTCATTCTGAGCAAACATGCGTATTTTCATGAATTTCTGATGCTCTGGGGCCAGCAAATTAAAAACTATCAGACATTTCAACTGACAGACGACGGATGTAATACTAAGGTTGTCCACTAGAGTCATAGGAGAAAAAAATATTTTAAGCCTGCCTTTTTCCATCCACTAGAATGACAAATAAATACATTAAATCAGTTGAAATGTACTGTACTGTCAATATAGTTTTATACAATTATTTTATAAATGCTTATAGATCATTAAAATCATTAAAAAAATTATAGATCAATACTAGTTTTATATATCCTTCCCTTTCTATGACTGCATCTGTTCCACACTCTTGATATTCTAGAGTAACCCTTTCATTGCTGTAACTCAACAACCAGACTGGCAGAGGGTTAAACGCATGTGCCCGCTGTGCACCGTTTTCCTGATGCTACTGGTGGTGACGGTGCCACCGGGGCCTGGGCCCATCCTTGCTGCTTTCAGCTATATTTTTATTATTGTTATTTCAATTTTATGTGTACAAAATTTTACTCTGGAGCAATCCCTGATGGTCACGTAGTATATTTCCCTTTGTTCAACAAAATTATTCAAAATAGAAAAAAAGATGCTACATTATAATATTATAGGCCTATATATAATATATATACACACAAGCCTGAGACTCTTTGATGACTGAAAAATTAATATTAGTGGTCCATATACCGAAGTCTATATAATAAATCTTATCAAATATCATACATAAAGAGAATCTTTGATACAAACTATATTTATATATTTACATGTTTTTTTTTTTTAAATGTTGGTTATACTGAGTCAAAGGCAGGGTTTGAGAAGCTGATATTTTCTGGCTCTTCTTCCTCGTTGAAGTCTTCAGTACGAAGATCTGTTTCAAACATCCGCTGTAAAAGTCCATCCACAGTTCTGGATCCTGGAAAATAAAACAAAAGCAGTCCTTTTATTACTTACTAGTTTAGCAAATAATGCATTTCAAAAATTATGAAATAAAACAAAATACAAGTAAAACAGAATAAAAAATGAGGGTAAAATAAATAAAATAAGGGAAAAATAATAAAATGGGGGGGGGGGGGATTAAATAAAGCAAAAGTAGTCCTTCAATACTTCTGTTCTATTCTATTCTATTCTATTCTATTCTATTCTATTCTAAAATAAAATACTTCTTGAAGCAATCTTGAACATGAGGGAGGGCTTCTGTTTGCCAGCTTCAGAAGGGCCCAGTTCATTGTCATTGCTTTCCATTGCATCTACAAGACCAGTGTCCACACCATCCCTGCCAAACAAAAAAGGCCTCCATTAAAACTCCAAATCAACAGCAAAATGATGCTATGCTAAACAACTTGATAGGAGGTCCAAATGGTACATACTGTTGAACATTAAGCTCCAGCTCCTCTATTTTTTTCTCCAGAGAAGTTTGCAGGTCACTTTTGTCAACTGTGTATTCCACTAAGAATGCCTCCAAGATAAATGCTACAAAAATACTGAGGGAAAAAAAAAAATTAAGCTCACTTCTCAAATTATGCATATTTGTCTTTTAAAGTAAAACACAATAATAATATTTTTAAAATATAGTCTCTTCATTCTTACTTGATTATAATAATGACGACCACAATGTGAAAAAGGACAAAGAAAATTCTGGCTGAAACGTGTGTGACTGCCGTGAAACCGCTGGTCAACAGTGAAGTCAGTTAAGGGAAAAGCAATGCATGGTAATGATGTTATTAGAACTTTCAAAGACCTTAGTCTAGAGTTTCACAGCATTATCCTTGGAGCAGAAATGCATTTTGATCTATATTTGTAAAGGATATCATGCCACTGATTAACCACAGTGAGTTCCAGCAAGACAATGAAGGAAGAGACCACATTGTTGAAGTTGTTCTTGCAGTAGTTGAGTTTAGCAAAAGTGGTTCCTTTAAGGAGAGGGTTTCCACAGTACTCTTGATCAGGACTTGTAGAGTTAGGTTCAAAGAACTGAACTTTACCTTTAAATAATTCCATTCCAACCATGGCAAATATGTAATACACCACCTGTAGGGGACAGCAGTGGATTTCTACATACTGATACACATCAATTATGACAGTTTTTCATCACAAACAACAGTTTAATATGCAGCACGATGGGTCTGCCTCCCTTCAAATGATAATGTCCCTGTCCCAGGATCATAACAGGGTGGAACAATGGAACACTGTTGGCAGCTCGATGAGGTGCAGCCATCTAAATGCAGCCATACATCAAGCACTGTATCCAGCCCATGCTTTTTTAGCACCCTATTATCATACAAGGTGTCCTTGAGGCCCAGCATGGTGCAATACAGGAAAATCACCAATGAGAGCATGGCCATTTTAGGATTTCATACTTTCCCAGATGGACACATTCATCCATTTTGAATTTTTATTTAAAGCAATAGCCTGTATAATGCATGCAATATATATATATATATATATATATATATATATATATATATATACACACACACAATATCTTTCAAAAGTTATATATATATATATACACACACACAATACCTTTCAAAAGTATGAGGTTGGTAAGATTTTTGAATGCTTTGCTCATCAAGGCTGCATTTATTTGATCAAAAATACAGTACATATTGTTAAATATAAGTTAAAATAACTTTTTTCTATTTTAATGTATTTTAAAATGAAATTGATTCCTCTGATGTGTTCAGCAGTCGTTAGGTTTCAGTGTCACATGATCCTTCAGAAATCATTCTAATATGCTGATCTGTCACTCAAGAAACATTTCTTATTATTATCAATGTTGAAAACAGTTGTGCTGCTTAATGTTTCTGTGGAAACTGTGAATTTCAGGATTCTTTTAAGAAAATAAAGTTCTAAAGAACATTTATTTGTTTTATAGAGTTGTTTTTGTGATACTATTGATGTTTTTTTAATTCTGGTTCAAAATTCTGATTTGGTAGAATAAGTGTACGTATAGACCTTTTTCCTGAGTAAACGATGAGCGCCGTCATTGCGAATTCGAACTTCCGATTGGATGCTCTTCTGTTCCGGTCTCCATAGGAACCCATTCAAATAGTGCCCATCTGTTTTTAATGTAGCTAACGTCGGCAGCTTCGTGTCATCTACACACTCATTAAACTTTGAGGAGTGAGGCACTGACAAATGACGGTCATTGCGAAACTGTAAAGTGATGGCGCTATGGAGCCATGTGCTTTTAAAAAAATGTTTTAATAGGTTTAACATTAGATTATCAACTCAGAATATACGCTAATTTGACTAGAAACACTGAAGACCGGAAATGCAAAGCATCCTTCCGGTTAAGAGTCAGGCGTGACTTCCGCGTTCAGAAAAAATGTCTATACACACATTGCTGATTTGAAATGTCATTGAAACATAGTTTTGACATTTCTCAGTATCCCTATTAGCTAAATAGAACATAACTGCCCAGTGGTGTTGCTAAGATAGCCACCAGAAGGATTGATATTTGCATGAGGCTCTTAAAGGAACAGTTCACTCTTTTACTCTCATGTCAATCCAAACCTGTCTGTCTTTTTCTTCTGCTGAACAGTGAACACTCAACTGTTTTTGTTCATACAATGAAAGTAAATGGGGTCCAAATTAATACTGAACCCCACTGACTTATACTGTATAGACAAAAGAACGAAAGAAAGTCATACAAGTTTGGAACAACATGAGGGTCATTAAATTATGACAGAATTGGCATTTTTGGCTCAACTATCCCTTAACAATAAGTAAATACTCACCACTATGAGTTGGCTAAATGTAAGAATAGTTGGTCCAATTTTAATAAGAGTGTTGATGATGGCTCGGAATCTACAAAGGTAAGATTTTTAGTTTAATGTCACATGGCAGCATTTAAAAAACATTTGCATATAAAAAGCATTTGGCTGTGACTATCTGACCTCTTAATGGAATCCACCAAGCGTATGAGTCTGAGGACTCTCAAGATGAAAACGATGTCCAAGATCTGGCGACTTGTGTAACCTCCAGCTGCAAACAAAGAAATTGGTCATTCAGTTGCAAAGATAAAGACAGTAAGATTTCTTAAAGCTATGCTTATATAACACCGAACAACTTTGATATAAAATTTAGTAAATGCAAAACTGTATCCAAGTACATTGCATAGCAAGTACATAAGTATATACTTCATAACCTTCCTAAGCACTTACAGTGTTTGAGTGCTGAGTTAATGATAGTGCCAAAGAGTGCAGACACAATAATGATGATATCAAACCTGTAAGAGATCGATTTAATTGAATTTGATTTCATGTGAGCTAACACAGATATCATGTGATCAAATTCAGTGAGCCATACAAAACAAAGTCTCCTCACCAGTTCCAGAAATGATGTCGAGCGAAGAACGCCCGCGGCTCGGTAGCGTACAGTTTGAGAATGATCTCCAACATATAAAGAGCCAGAAAACCCCACTCAGCATTTGAGACCACAGGGTTCTCCTCATCCAGGCCAATGAATACAGCATTCACTAGGATAATCAGGTCATAGACATACACAAACATTCTGGAACACACAATACAACAAACAGATGACCATATGGCAAGTACATGTACAAACATGTTTAACAGCATCAATAGGATGTCCAACAGGGTCACAAAAGGAAGTCATACAACTTTGTTGTTCCAAAAAAAAAAGAAATGTCTCAGTATCAATGCAAGTTAGATATTTTGTGTCCATGTACCTGTGATGAACCACATTGCGAATAAATCTGCTGACTGAGGAATTATACATGGAGGGGAAACAGATTTGAATGGGGTGTGGCTGTGACTTCACTGTGATCACCTGAATACTCAGAAGATCAGCAAGCTGGACAAATGCAAACTTCCCTGCTCAGACAATGAAGATTAAGGGGAAAATTCAATAAAACAGCAGTCAAATATAATTTTTAAGTGACTATTTTTGAAGCAAAGAAAAATCAGTCTGACCTATGTGTCCTTTATTCTGATCATCTAAGACGCTCCAGAGCAATTCCTGGTGAGCAATACTGATATTCGGCTTGACGAGTTTAACCAGATGGTTCCATTTGGCCTGGGTCACCACAGGCTCTCCACCTTCACCGCAGGTCTCCCGAAGCAAAGAAAACGCCCGGCACATCTTAAATCTTCTGGCCTTCACCAGCTGCCGCACTTCCTCCTAGAAAACAGGAAAGAAATCAAGAAGAACTTCTAGAACTAGCTATAAAAGAAATCAACTAGAACTAGCTATAAAAGAATGAGCTAGATTATTAGATTGATCAATAGATCAATAAACTTGTTTCAATATTATTTAATATTAATTAATTTTAATATTTAAAAATATACATTTAAATTCGAGATTAATTTATTTTAAAATAATTTCTTTAAAATGTGACCAAAATAAATGTGACTGAGAAAGTTGCATGCTGACTTGACAAAGATGTGAATACCTTAAGGTACTTTTTGTAGTTGTTGTAAACGACAGCAAGAAAGAAGGACATGAAGGTATATGTGTTGATAACAATGTATAGAATGAAGAAAATAGTGAAGAAAACACTGTAGTTGTATGCCGGCATCCTACAATGAAAACATAAAAATAATATCACAGAAGCATTTGCATAGCATGCTTAGAGCACACTGTGGGTTACTGAAAGTCTTTTATACTGCTGAATATACATACTAATAAAAAATTCACCAAAGAGAATAAAGCCTAAAAGGAGAGAGCGAGAAACTTGCAATAGTTCAAGACTTACATGACATCAGGGCTATTAGCAGTGGTCACTAAAACATAAAGATCGAAAACAATATCCAAATAGTCAGTGAAATATGGAGAACCATCAATGGTAAGAAGGCCCCTAAGATAAAAGTAAAAGATAATAATAAACTTTTTTTCAATGGACACAACTCATTTGACTGGAAAAGTCCAGAGGTATAAATGGTTGATACTGTATTTCGGATTACCTTTTCCCAAACAATTTAAGAGCCATGAGAGAAAAGACCAACACGCTGAACATGAATAAGAGAAAAACATAGGAGATCTGAGGCAGTGCATTCCGAATACTCCTGAACGCCCTCCGCAGCTACAGACACAAAAGGGAGGGGAAAAGAATGGGTCTGGAGGACATTTGTGGAGGACATATGGACATACACTACCAAGTTTGGAATGGGTAAGATTTTATAAATGACCCGAAACACTTGAACAACAGTGTATGTTTTCTCCAACTTTAAGCTTTATTTCATGGCAAAATTATCTGAATGGACATTTTCAAACTATAAAAAAGAATGAATTAGTGAATTGGTAAGCTAATTAAACAATGCAGGAACTACTATACATTTATTTTGTGCTTTGAGGTTTTCTTACTTGTCTTCCCTCTGTAACATTGACTAACAGAAGAGGTCTTAAGACCCTCGACCATCGGATGGCAAAGTAGCCTGTTGCTTTCAGAGCCCCGTATATAGTCAAATCTATGAAAGAGAGCTGTGAGATGGGAAGAGTAAAGAAAGATCATGAAACAAAAAATACATTGATATTCAAAATCTCCCAAAATTTATAGGAATGCAAGCAAGTTTCACGACACACGTAAACCCTCTTCCTGGCTTCACTAAATGTCTACTCATAGTCAGTGAATGCCACATTTCCTGGTGATCCTGCAGAACTGCTGAGAATGACAAACCCCGGGCTAAAGTTCATTTCATAACATTGTTACGACTACAGTACATTCTCAGCATTTTCTCATGTTTGTACAGACAGAACACTTCAGGTGAATTCACTGGTATTATATTATATCAATAATATATTATGATATGAACCAGATAAAACTGACTATGTATGTAAATAAAATGAAAATTGATCTATTTCCTATTTACAGTCCAAAAATATTCTTTTTAGATTAGAGGCCTACCGTTACAATGACTATGATGCAGATATTTTTAGGATCCTTCCAGAATTTATCCCTTGGAATGACTTTGGCATAGTGTACCATCCGCACAGTGAACGCAGAGAGACATATGATCTCAATTGTAGAAGTCGCCTAGAGACCACACATGCGCACACACACACACACACACACACACACACACACAACAATGTCACAGAATTTTACTATATAACTGTCTAATAAGATTTTAATCTAAGGTTACTTTATCAGAGTCTAACTGCCAAATGGTTTGGCTGTGAATGTCTGGGCTAACCACAATTAGCTGGGCAACAAATAAATAAATGTGGATAGTGACAGAAAACACCATCTAAAGCTCCTGACATTCTTCCATAGAAAGTGACTATTTTTCAATGAACATGAATCTCCATGAAATATCCCATTGTGTCATATGGGGGGTTGGCATGGAATACAGGATGTCATAAAGGCAGTAAACTCAGTTTTCAAAACAGTTTTATGTTGCTAGTCAAATACTTTTCCAGTTCACATAGGTACTCTACTATGACAACAGACCCTAAATTTTCATTTCAGTACATAGAGATTCATGCATAACATGTTTTATAGTTAAACATAGATAGAAACAATGAGCATCCAAGAAATATTCAACCACTCATTCACAAAACTACACAAAGGTCTGCAACGAATTGCACATTGGATAAATGATTAAACCACTGCTTGGCTGAACACATTTCAAATGTAAGTTTAAAATGTTTTTCACTCATACCCATATAGGAAGTGGCACAACAGCAGGATCCTCAAAGAGAGCCAGAGCAAGATTTATAATGATGAACACATATACCAGCGTCTGCATGAACAAGTGATTGTACAACAGGTACAGCCTGTGGAATATTTTACAGATTTTATAATACACAATCTAGTAATAGTCAGTTATATAAATGATTGCTGGAAAGTCATCTCTTACCTCACAGCCTGTGGCGAAGTACCAAAAAAGATGTTCCTGTTATACTGGGCATCTGACACATATACTGTGGCAAGGTCGAATTTCTAAAACCACATCAGCGGCCAAGAAGAGAGAATAAATACAGGCCATTATAGTCCATTGCATATTTTATTTATCCACTTTTTAAAATATTTTCTAGCTCATTTTAAATGATTCTGTGGAGTGACAAATGGATTTATATAAGTGCAAATATTCCATGTAATCTCTCAATTAATATGTCATAAAATCTGCGTAAATAACAATTAATAAATTAAATAATTAGCAAAAAGCTGTGTATAACTGGATTAAACGGAGTGGCATACCATTCGACACATCAATTCTACCAAAACTATTACGTTCTATAACCTCCCTTTCAAACTACAGCCATCACTCAAAAATGGGACTAATATGTGCACGTTTATGCTAATGGACCATGCATAATTATATTTGTATGGCAACAGACAAACATAACAATGCATTTCTCTACAAATGATAAACAATTAACAACTAAAGAACTTCTGAAATGTTTGCAAAAGGCAAAAAAAAAACGTTTTCAGTGCTTCTCTTTTTTTCTTGACAAGCAAGACACCAGATGTTTCTCTGATTACATAAAATGATCCAGATTTAAAAGGACCTCCATGTTGCGGTAAGTTCAATAGACTTTCCATCCCAATTAATAAACCAACCAATCCAAACTTAATATCAGAGTACCATCTATGAACCTGAACGTATTTTTAAACCCATCTTTTTAGATGTTTACATTTTGCGGCACATTGATAAGTACAGGTTTCCAAGAACACTATATCCACGCAACATACCTCTGTCATCTCATCTGAAACGTTACTGGAAACATTGTTTCCTCCATTGGTTAAACCTTCATCCTTTGGTAAAGTATGGCCCTTTGGTTTTTCGGTCTCTGACATTTTTCTCTGTCCCTCAAATTTTCCCTGTCCTTATGCACCTGATACAGATCCAGTTCGCAGGAAATCCAGTCTTGAAAAAAGTTCATCTTGCAAACGAAGCGAATTTGCTAATCCTAGTATGGTGAAGGTCTTGCTATTAAAAATGCAATCGTATTTGGAAAATTACCGAGCAACGTCAGCATGGCCAAATTAATATTTAATAGAAAAGCCATCTCACCAATCAAATTGAGGATGGTCTCATTAATATTAAGAAGCACAGTCTTCCATTGCTTAGATTGGGTGAACGTCCTCTCTAATTAATATTCATAAGGTGAGGCCTCGCCATAGTAGAATTGTTTTGGTTTTATCCCTCACATTCCAAACGGCGGAAAAGTGTGTCATTTGGCTTTAACCTCCACAAATAAACAATTATGGGGCGAATAATGTATTTGTCAAGGAAGCATATAAGAATTTATTATACTGCTTATTTAAAACCGAGTTTGTACAGCTATGTTTTTGCCCAGTCATGTGACCGAATCCAGCGGAACTAGCGGAGAGGATCCACAGGCTCAGAGTTTATAGTGACGTCTCAAAGAAAACACCCCAACGACTGTGTTATGATTAACCCATTGTTCCCTTATGTTTACACTGTAATTTACGCTGAGATCTCAAAACTAGAGGAACACCATAATATCAAATAATGTATTATTACGTTTTTCAGTGTATAATTACCTTTATAAAATAAAGTGTTAGGCAGACAAAAAAAAAAAAAAGAAAAAGACCAACGACTGTAAAACTTAATATTTATTTATTTATTTTACCAAAAGTTATTTCTATAAACGCCATAGTTTGAAAGATCAATACAAGTCTATGCAAACAATCTTTTTTTTTTTTAAATGTAAATAAATCAATATCTGGGGACAAACATTTTAGTGCTCATGATGAATAGAAAGAAAAATCTAATAAAGTTATGTGATTGTTAAATGCATGTGAACTAAGCACTTTTTTAAATCTTAAAGTGTTTTGAGCGTAGTTTATAACAACATTGCTTTAACATTGCTTTAAAAGACAAGCAGCATTCTACTGTAGGTGTCAACATGTCAAAGGTAACAGGAAACAATTTAAAATGTGAAATGTAAAATGATTTTATTGTGGTATATAATATAAACCAGGAAATTCACTAATAAAAGATAATTATATTTCCAGCAGATGCAAATAACAACAACAACTACAACAATAATAATATATCAATCTCAAATATATAAAATTGTAAAGACTGCAAAATTTAAACATCCCATTCTTTAGTCAAGATAGAAATGCGTTTAAAAATACACCACATTCTTAAAGCATCTGTGTCTGGAACTGCAGCACAAGGGGTCACATATATAAAACTTCTCTAGGTTATATTTTTGTTATTTATATCTAAATTAATTTCTTTCCTTTCCATGAATTAGTGTATGTGAGTAGAGACACTTTTTGGGCCCTAATTTAAGTGTTATGTTGAACTCATACACGAGTATGTGTTCAAACAGTGTCTGAAACGTGTTTCATATTTAACTTTTATGAGTTGTTCTATGAGAATAATCTGAAGTCAAATTAATCTCGGTGGAACGGGGTTCGTCCTGATGGAGGAGTAAGCACCGATATGCTTGATGAGATTGGGTTCAACGCTGTGTGCCTTCTCACCTGGCCTCGATCTGGCTATCTTGTACAGCACCATGTCTTTTGCATTTCCCTGAGTGCAGACGGCCTGGTCCAGGTATTCAGTGGCTCGAATGGAGGTGTTACCTGGATAGAGCATAGCAGGGGTGCAGCATTCAGTGGCAGGACACACAGCGTACAGCTGAGGCGAAAGCCGTCTGATTTCTAGGAGATAGTGCCTCCCTGCCAGCTCAGCCACGGCCATTACATAGAGAGCCAGAAAGAGAAAATGAGGAGGTGAGAAGGTAAAAGAAAGAGGTGTACAGTGAAATAACAAAAGGAGGAGCATCATAGCCCCAAACAGGCCGAGACCCATCCATTCTAGAATGCGATAAGGCTCTGGATTCCAGTATCTCTGCAGACGTTCTGGATGGTAGAGCTTAATGTATAAAGTATTAAGTGCAAATCTCCGTGAGAGTATGTTTTTAACGGATGAGAAAAAAACAGTCAACGGAAGTGCGTCATCCTCCAGGACAACAAAGTTTTTCGGCCTCATCAGGTCCCATCCTTTGCGCAGGCAGAAAACATAATCTCTTTTCTCCTTCTCAAAGATGTTGGCCACGTCTCGGCTCTGCCACCTTTCATCAAGAGAACGTCTAACAACCAAAAACTGTTTCTCCAGAAGCAAAGCATCCACATTTAAAGTGGGACCTCTTTCGACGTCACAGAGCATGACCACAGCACATGGTTTATCGCCACACGCTTTGAGGAGCGATTTGAGCTGTTGTGCCACCTGTAACAGGTTGTGATAGTCCCTCCCCTCTGCTCTCCTGGCTGTCACTACAGTGACCAGGAGATCCGGTTTCTTGGCAATTGTTTCCAACGGGTCCTTCAGGCTTTTCGTAGAGGCTGCTGCTTCCCAGAAACGCAGGGCCTCCTGGCCTCTGTCGTAGCTTTCTTGTAGTGCTGCATCACTTAGTGAATCAAGATAAACAGTCTTTAAAAAATAATATGAGTAAAGTAGACGATGACAGCATATAGGCAGTATCACTCCAAAGGTTAAAACACACAAAAGCAGCCCTTGAGCTACTGGGCTTGACCAACGAAAGTGTTTGCTTGTACAAGTCCTCCATCGAGGCATCTGTGTTTGTTTAAACTGTGATCACAATTCACTTCTGTGGCAGTTAAAACAGTGCTGAGGTGATGGATATGTGACACAGGTGGAGGGACAGGGGGAACCAGATTTGCGCTGATATGCAGTAAAAGTCGTGTCATATACAAGCTTATGAATTTAGAGAGCCTTCTCAAGATAATTCCATATTATGTATCTGTAAACAACAGAGATATACAGAGTCATACTCTCATTCTTATTGTAAATAAAACATTAAATATTACTAAAAACATTCTAGGTCATTAATACATTTCTTTAAATAAAACATTATGACACACACACACATATACTGTATATATATATATATATATATCCAGGTGCATCTCAATAAATTAGAATGTCGTGGAAAAGTTCATTTATTTCAGTAATTCAACTCAAATTGTGAAATTACTGAAATAAATGAACTTTTCCACGACATTCTAATTTATTGAGATGCACCTGTATATATATATATATATATAACAATGTAAAACATTGTAAAAGTTTTCGTATACACGAGACACTCTAAAGACATTTTTTGTGGAATGACCCTTTCTGTGCAAAAAGCTCGTAGAAAGCATGAAAAACGATATGAATGAGCTTATTGCATAAAGAAAACAAACCCGGAAGAAATGACCCGTTAAGTGAAATAATAATGAATTCAACAAAGCATTATTGTTTTATGAAAACTATTTCAGCATTATGAAAAATAGTTCAGCATTCCTACCAGAATGTGGATGTTGAACACCTAAAGACTAGAAGACAGCAGCCGAGACTGAACAACGGGTCAAACAGCACGCTTGATGACCTATTTGCCCAACTCTAATCCAAACATCACCAGTTACGGCGTTTCCGTATTACCGTAACACACGGACCAAATGCGCATTAAATTTACGGGAAGCAATGTTAACCGTTCTTTACCCGGTAGAACACTCAGTGCATCCAGGGAGAGGCACTCATAAAGCTGATTCAGTGATTGAGCTCGCATTTAACGAATTTTAGACGTTTTTGTCTCACAGGAGACAGAAATTAAAATATCATCATCGAGAACTCAAAAACGACTGTGATTGGTGCACCATAGCCAGCGCTAAGTAAAGTAACACAACCCACGTGATAACGACATCAAGTGATGTAATTACAAGACCAGACACTAGACAGCAGTGTGGGGTTAAAGACGGTCTGCCGTCGATGCGCGGGGCAAAATGAAATGTGCAAAAGAGAGATTTTTGGTAGATTGGTGGTAGACCAGAAGGTTGGAGGAAGGTAAACTGTATGCCGTGTAATAAGTAATCAGCAGACTATCAAATGTAGGCTAAGTTATAAGGTGTTTCTCAGTCTTAAAATGTTTTTATTTGTCTTAACATCATCACAGTGAATGAGATCAAGCTTTAAAGAAGAAAGAAAACAAGCATCTTAACATTAGCATCTAAATAAGCATAAAATAATTGAAATAACCTACTCAAAACCTAGAAAACGTTTCAGGGAAAGTTTGACACTTCTTATATGATCTATATTATAATTATTTTTACATACTATACCCTCCTGGGACCCAGTCATTTTGTCCTCTGTAGAGGGCATTATATTTAAGCGAATTTCTCTGAGACCGCACTTGTCACAGTTTTAAGTCTGGATGTCCTGTAAAGAGCACATTCAGGGGTTTTAGGCTGATGATACACAAGGCAACTTTTTGAGCAATGTTGCCAGGCAACTTTGGTTATTGTTGCTGTCAACGGGCAACCAGGTGAGACACAGGGCCCACAACCGATCTAAAGTATCCAGATAGAAATTTGTTACCCATTCTCAGTGGGAAAGTACTCAAGCAACATTGCTTAACAAAAGTTGCCCGGCAAAATTGCTCAAAAAGTTGCCCTGTGTATTATCAGCTTCAGAGATACCAAATGTTTGGAAGTTTCATCATGACCCCTCCTTCTTCTTGGTCTTTAAAAATGGCTGACATTAAATTAGTGATCAAATTTAACACCCTTATGCAAATATGAGTCCAAAAACCAGTCAGTATCTGGTGTGACCACCATTTGCCTCAATACATCGACTATAATAGCAAAACCCATTTTTGGCCATGTTTACGCACATACTGTGTAAAGTAAAATAGTACATCAAACCATTCTCTAATATCTTTCACACACCATAGTTGACAGTCTATGAAACTAAATCCTGAGTCACGCTCTGACACGCACCATGGTCACCTGTGTTCTGGTTAAACACACTGAAATCTAACCCACCCTTGTAACCAGACTGACTTCTCATCACCTGTACTGTTAGGGAAAATGAAAAAGAACAAATTTTCCATTATGTTTAATTTTGCCTATAGTCTTACAAAATGCCACAAAGTGTATGGTCACATTAAAAGGGCAAATTAGGAAGTAGATTTTTTTTTTTTAAATCTA